GTAAGTACTGAACGTCATATGCTGGGTGCACATGATGCAGCTCTGAGTGCCCAGCAGTTGAATGGCTGTGCATTTTCAGAATGGGTCACTTGTATGGTTTACTGTCAGTGAAGTGTCACCTCCTGGTTTGGTGGTCTCTTTGCTGTTGAGAGTGGTTAAGCATTTTCTGTGGATTTTGTATTTTATGATGGTGGTTGAATTGGCTTTTACTTTAACTGCTGTGCAAAAAAAGATTTAAAACTTTTACTTACTCTTTATAGATCTTTATCACAATTAACACAGTTGAAAGATAAGGTATCAATTAATATTTTTGCATAATACCCTGCTATAGAAATTCTTCATAAAATCCAAGGAATGGGCTTGCTTTATATGGTGTGTAATCAAAGCACTCAGTAAGAGTATGCAAGTAGATTTATCAGAGTAAGAGTATGCAAGCAGATTTATCAGACAGCCACAGCATGTTGAACACAGGATAGTTTAATGGATCATGGCACAATGAGGGATTTAATGCAGATCATATGCACATGACAGAGGGTTATATGAGATCTAGCTTACCCTTAATATCAGGAATGTAATAAAAATAAAACAAAGAGACAGTGGGATGCTCTGATAACATTCAGCTGTCAAGCAGTTGTGGAAGAAAATACATGGTACAGTAAAGAATGCCATACCTCAGTAGCCAACTCTTGGTGTAGCTGTCCTGGAAATTTTGCCCCTTGTTTCTGCCATACACTTTAAAGTATCCAGTGATTTTTGAGTAAATGGTTTTGCAAAGCTGGAAGCATGTATTTTTCCCTACATAACGATACTAAAACCTGCCTGTAATTAGCTACCTTAGAATACCTTAGAGAAAATTTCTGTGGCTTCAAGTATATTTAGATTTTGCTTTTAGATAGATATGAATTTAAAATATTGGTATCACTGAAGAAATGTGGGCATTTTCTGAGCTGTAAACATGAGGAAGTCTTTGTGTTGTGAAATAGAAATATTACATTATTCTCTAAAATACATGAGATATTAATTTACTTTTCTTCTTTTCCATGGAGAATAGTGCAGGTAGGTAGCACAGTTTTGGTTTCCTGCACCATTTGTTCACACTGGCTGATGATACAAGATACTTTTCATTTAGGTGTTATATACAGTGTTGTAACCTGGATTAGGTAGATTTTAGTCTTGCTATATTTACAGCAAACCACACTTTCTCTATTAACTGGTCTCTTGTGGTTTAAAGGTGTGTATGTTTATTTTTCATGGGTTCTTCTCAAATAAGCTTGTTCTTGATAATCAGATTTTAGCTGACTTCCAGGCTGGTGAGTAATCAGCTGTGAGCATTAACATTCATGCACATTAACATTTTGTAGAAGAAACAGTAATGTTTGGATGGCTAAATTACTGATACTAAATGATTCAGATTATGGTAAGCATCTTACAGCTCTGGTACAGCAAGATGTGACAGTGCTTATCTTCAGGCCTGGGAGTGTTGTTAGAGAAATTATGTTCAAGCCTTTGCAGCCTTAGAGTCTTGATTCTCCTTAAGAATGGCTCTTTCTTTATCACATGGAAAGATGAATATTTCATATGATTGGAATAATTGGTCTTTCTTAGGGCTCTAGAGACTGCTAGATGCTATGATTACTCAGTGGAATTTACTGGTGTCGGGCACCCACCAACAGGAATGGAGAAGGTTGGGTTTTGTACCCAAATAGGTGTGTTTTTTAGAAAATACCCTCAAAGTGCTGAATCTGTTCAGTCTGAGAAACCCATGGAAGCAGTTTACAAAACAGTAAGTATTGTTTTCCTCCTTTAGAGGTGTGAATAAAGAGTAAAGTTGCCTATGACTGCCTGTGGGGTTGTTACCAGGAAATACTGCTGATAATCACAGCAAGACAGTCTCAGTCTTTGTGTTTGCAGTTGTACAGAGGCCTTAAACTTTTAGGGTGTTTGCTAAATAACAATATGGATAATCATTCTTATCTTAAGATACACCTGTCCTTGCAATGAAATTGTTCCTTCCTGCCAGCTATTTTTCCTCTAGTCATTAAATGTATTTATTTATTATGTGGCTGTTGGCAATGACACAGATTTTTCAGATACATAAAAAATTTTAAAAACCCATGTCTTGATAAATGTGACCTGAACTGAAACGTAAAGTTGTGTTATGGCTTTATCTTTTATTGCTTCCAAGCTGTAAAAAACATTTGTAATTCCTGTATTGGAAATTTCTATGCATGTGAAACGTCACCTGTCATCTATTGCCCTTAACAGATTAATGAAATATTCTTTAATGCTCACCAGACTTGGAAATACATCTAGGTGATGGACATGTACTAGAAATTGCTTTCATTAGCTCCTGTTATAGGGTCATTTTGCAGAGTTTTGACATGGGTATCCTTTGAGATTAAACAAGAGTGTTAATTTTGTGTATTTCTTATAAAATTAATTTTTATAAGGTAACTAATTTATAGGAGTAATTCAACATTTCAAGGTGTAATTGGAAAGTAAGAAATAATTATAGACAGTGGAACTTCATTGGTACAAAACACTTCATATAACCTGGTGGGAATGAGATTGCCTGCTTAGTTTCCTTAACTGCCTTGGAGTATAGCTCAGTAACACACTACAGTTCCCCAGATTTTGATGTCACAATTTATTTGTGACATCAAATTTGGGACAGCATTTGTGACAGCTGTGAGAGCATATTTAATGTTTGACTCTGAAAACAACAAATGACATGCTGTAGTCTTGGTTTCCAGATGACAATTCAGAACTAGTTTAGAATCTCCATCACTATAAAACTGTCCCCAGAACTCCATAATGTGAGAAGTAAGAAAATTATTGAAAAGAGGTGAAGAATTGCAGGGCTTTACCTTGCCTGATCTATAAGTGTATCTTGCAGGTATTGCCTGTTGGGTTTTGGGGTGTTTGTTTAAGTTCAATTAACTGCCAGCGTAGTTGTAATAAAGAAAACCAGCTCATATTGCCTAGTTTTTGTTACCTCAAACTGTTTAATAAGCAAAACAGGATTGAATAAAAATTTATATTCCCATTTTAGCAGCTTTTTTGGACAGCAGATGTTAAAATCTGAGCTTGTGATAGTGATAAACATTTTATGTTTTCTTGTATATTGTAAAGGTCTTCAAAGCAGTGTACCCAAGTCTAAAAGATGAGAAGTACTTGCAGAATGCAGTGATCAGTGAAGTTATTTTCACAGCCCAAATCATTAAGCACCGTTTAATGTCAAAACGTCAGGAGTACAGTGATGATCCTGAGAGAAAATCCAAATTCCAACTTTCAATGGACTGTTTTTCTGACTATCTTGGAAAAGTGGTTGTTGAAAAAAACATGGAACCATTTGTCAGTGGAAATGAGGTTTACATACCTCTCAGAACAATCTTTTCTTTTCCCAGAGTGAATCGACTTTGTGGTACCTTTGAGAAGTTATGCAAGCTTATTGCAGGCAATGTCACACTGAGCAGTGATGGTTCTGCTGTGATGTTCAATATTGAACATGAAAATGAAGAGAATTAGATCAGATTTCTCAAACCAAGTTCAGCTGAAACAATGAAAGTGGTTTTTTAGAAGCTGTCAAATGGTATGTTCTGTATGCTAACTAGAGCACAAAAGCTTTTCTAACCTTCCATCAGTGGTAGTTATCTGTCAGCACCTCTCCCTGAGTGAAGGTGAGTGCTTCTGACAAAGGTAACAGTAACTCATAGGGGTTTCAAGTGAGTATCAGGGGCTAAAAGGAAATAATTCATTCCCAAGAAGAAAATGAAGCATTTCTGTTTGCTTTCTATTGCTTTATTGTAGCTATCATTACTAGATTATTTCTGGTAGTCTCTTGTTAGTATCAAGGATAGTTTGTTTTACCATCTACTGTGTTGTGCTGGATAATGTGAGTCAGACATAACTTTAGGGCAAGTTTTTTCTTAATTTCTTTAAAATTTATAGATGCCTTTTTCAAGATGAGTACATAGCCTTGATGAAAACCAAATGTTGTTCCCGCTGAATTGAAATATGAAACTGGCATATTTGTTCTGTTTTTGAAAGAATATTAAAAAAATTAAAGAACAGCAGTAATTGTGAATGCTAACCTATCTCTGGTGTAGTTGAAAAATTTTCTGTGTTTTCACATGCAGCTTTTGTTCAAAACTGTAAAATCCAAATAGAGTAGATGGGAAAAATTTAACAAGAACAAAACCCCACAACACAACCAAAAAAACCCCTCCAACACCAACATCAAGAAAAGAGTGCAGTATCCTGAATATAAGGGAAATAATGTGTGTATTGATTGTTTGGTTATGGTCAGAATAGTTGAACAGAACACTTCTGATCAGTGTTCCGAATTTAAAATTTTCCTTCTAGATTAGAAAAAGAATGGGATCCAAATGCCACATTTTCCTGATAATATAGATGTCACTTTGTGATAACACAGAAGCAGAAAAAAGCAAAGCATTTTAAAAAGAAATCCTTAACTGGAAGAGAAACTGAAATGGACTCAAACTTCCAGTTAAGTTTGTAATTTTTTGCATTGAAGAAAAAGAGACAATTCTTTAGGAATAGATTCCAAGCTGAAGACATGAGTTTATTGAATGTCCGAGAGATTTGTATTCAAATACAGTTAAAAAACATAATCCACCAATACATCCCAAACAGTTTGCAACATGGAAATCTCCAGTATTCATATAACATAGTTTACAAAAAAGAAAATACAGCACCTAGATGTGAAGGTTATGTTCCACTTACATGATGCACAATTAGATTATCACTTCATGAAGAGTTGTAAGTCAAGTCAGAAGAATAAATTACTAAGATACAGTTTTATGAAAAGCTGAATTTCTATGTCAATTTCCTTATTACTTAAATCTGCTCAGGCAAGACAATACTGTTTCTAGTAAACAAATTATCTAATCTATGACCATCAGCTGTGTTGTTTAACATTAAATGCTATGGAAATTCCCTTGGGAATTACATAAGCAGCTGTAGACTGCTGTAGACTGTTTTTTAAAAGTCTGTTTTCTTCAAACTACATGTAGTTTTCCTAGTAAATGTAAGTAAACTACCATTTAACTACTACTAGTTTTAATGGATTTGTCAAGAAGTATAGCAGTGTCAATGAGTACTGAAAGCAAAGAATGTATTCAAATTTCTGGCATCTTTTGCTTGCAATGGGATTTTTTGGTATGAATTGGTTATATAACAGGAAAGGAGACTGTAATGTTCTGAGAGTTGTATACCAGCAGTTGAGTAGTTTCTGTTTAAAATTCCTGTGGAGAACAGAAACTGATAATACCACACTTCTATTAAGAGCAGCTAAAATAGAATCTTTGTATTAATTCTTTTGTCTAATTAGACACTCTAAAGAGGTTATAATTAACAGTAGAAATAAAAGTATGCAAGTACCAAAACTGAGAAATAGCTCATATTCATCATTTTCAATAACAGCATTCTGGCTTTGAAGGCTGAAATTTCATTAAAAATACAAATAAAAGTTCAATAATTCTACTATGGATTTCTGGAATACAAAGTTTGCTTTTGCTAATTTAACCTATTAAATATGGCCTACTTTTACATCAATAAAAAGGTGTCAAACATCACTCTGAGCAAAACCTGAAGCATTCTGAGCTTTCAAAAGTGACGACACTATTTTTACTTATTCCAGACCTTAACTGATAAACAGTACCACTAAATTTAAAAAAAAAAAAATTAAATAATTTGCAGTTTACAGTTAATTACACCTATTTGTTACCCAACACATTCCTTTAAAAAAGGATTCTTTCATATTCCAGATGAAAATTTAAAGAGCGCTTTCTTGCCTGTCAGACAAATCACTACTTGTGCAAATTTAAATACAGTACATTGACCTAATGTAACAGTGGACAGATAGCAAAAGAAATGTTCAACAAAGCTGTTGCACACCAAGACTTTTTCAGTGTGCAGAGTATGTCTGCAATAAAGTGCTTCTCTTAACAAGTTATATCAATAATAGCATATACAGATGTTTACCTAGTTTTAAAGCTTAAGTTCCTTAATAAATGGTCTAGCCTCCCTGTACACCCCCAGTCCCTCAAGGCACATTCAAAACACAAGCAAAGCACTGACTGTGAAGGATTAAACTACAATTAAAAAAATTAAGTGGTAGTAAACTACTGACTAGGTTTGTAAACAGTACCGTCCCATTGGATCTCATGCATTATCAAAGTGAGTTTCTGTGGGAGCAGCTGCTGAGCTCCAGATTTAACAATCAAGGCAGCTTTCTTAATAAAATACTATTGTGTCTTAGTGTTTTGGTGTGCAATCCCACCTTTTTCATCACTTGAACAAAAAAAAGTCACATTTGATGCATTTAAACCTGTGGCCTTAATTTAGAGTAAATACAACTGATTAGTGGCTGGTTTAAATCGATTTAGTTTTGGGGGTTTGTTTTAAATGCACATGACATTCACCTCTTCTGTTGAACCTTATAATGAAGTTGTGCTCAGTACTCTTAAGAGAAAGTTTTGGTTATGTTAAAACATAGCTGGCCTGTTTTTTGGAGGCCATAACTTTGACCTGATAAAAACTGACTTGATAGGAGTAATTAGCTTCTGTAAAACTAAAATGGCATGTAGGATCAAATTCAGTAAATGACTTTTTTCAGGTTCTTTTAAGACCAATTTTCAAAGTTTCTTTAAAAACAAAGTCCATCACTGCAAGTGATCTCTTATATTGAAATGGGACATGCTTCCACAGATGTTTCACAGAAATTAAGTAATTCCACCAACATCAGACAGAGCTTACAAAAAGGGTCCAAGTGCTCTCACAAGGTACACATAGCTGAACATTGCCTTCATACCACAGAAGATGATGCTCTATGAGCAAGAGGCATTCCACTGCTTTTCAGAAAAAGATCACATTGAGTTCATTTAGTCTTTCTCAGCTCTTGCAGCAGAGCAAACAATACCAGAAGTATCAAAACCAGAGCTCCAAGTTTTCCTCATTTGACATTCCAGCTTAGCGTTTTATCACCACCTGCTCGTATGCTCCAGATCCTCCTCTGAAAGTTTGAAACAAGTTAGTTCAGTGTTCATTTAAATGGAAGCTAAATAGCAAGTATCACATATCAGCAAGTGTATTGATTAAACATGCCATTCCTCCCAAAAAAACCCAACAAAACCAAGCAAACAGCAAATACCAAACCAGCTAAATGAGAAGGGTAGAAAACATTTGTCATTATTACCATGCCATGGAGTCACCTACTCTTTAATGCACTAAAGAGATTTTGTTGTACTACAGTCAAAATGAACAAAGAGTAATGTTACTGAACAAGAAGTTACTGTTGAACTTCACTAGAATTTTTTAAACATTATGTTTAGGGTATCTATCCCCATAGCTGTATCATATGCAGCTAATACTCTTTATATACATTTATACATAAACAGGTCAATGTATCTAAAAAACTCAAAAAGTGATTGTCATCTTACATTAAGATACAAGAAAAACATCTTCAGTTTTTTGTTCACTCTGAATTGTAAACAAAACTCCCTCACTTCCCACATGACAGTTCATAGTGGGTGGTTTCCACAGCAAATTGCAGTACTATGTAAAAAATTCATAGGCCAAGCTCTGCCTTGGTACAGTATTGTGCCTGGACTCTTCTGGCAGCTCCATTAGGACAGATCTCTGTGTGCTACAGGAGTGTGTTCTGTACCTTTTCATGTGGTCCTACACAGGTATTGGTGTGCCCAGTTTGCAGATGAGCCAATTAATTTAACCATTAGTACTACATGCATGTATAAAATGCAATTATTTTATGCCTTTTCATATATTATCAACTGCCTTTATACCTAAGTCCATAGTAATTGCTGAAATACTGAGGCTGTTCTGATTTCAGCTATAGCTGTTGAGTTACACTGGACTGCAGAAACACAGTATTAGAACATATTCTTGCCTGGTTTTCATGGTTTTTCATCTGAAGATTAACACATTCAGGTCAAGTCATATATCAGGACTGAAGAAGGTTTAGAGAAGAAAAAAGTCTCTGGTTCTAAACTATAAGATAGCCTGAAGCAGATTATCAAAAGAGTTCAGGGCTGCAAATAGTTGAAAGATGAACAGGCCATTGAAACAAGTAATGTAACAAAAAGAAACAGGATTTGTGGGAAAAACTAAACTGAAGAAAATGAGGGTGGTTATTAGGAAGATGTACCAGTTTGATTCTGTAAAGGCAGATGTGTAAAACACTTAAAATCTTCTTCCCACTCCAGAGTAACGTAATCAGGCTGTAGAGCTCCCCTTTGAAACTGGTGTCTGCTTCCTGCATCCACACTGAAACATTGCTTGTTTCTGAAAACCTTGGAACTGAGACTCTTCAGAAACTGAAAGTTACAATTCTTATTGAACATTGACCTCAGTTCTGTTTTGGAACTAATCTATATGTCCTATTTTAAAAACTGACAGTCTAGCTTTTGGTGCTTTTAAATGATACAGACATGGTAGAAAGATACAAAGGTCAAGAATGTAGATACAGAGCAATTGCTGTATAAGATGCATTTTTATTTAGTATTGCCTATGGATTAGTTGTTCAGGCTACATACCTGTTAGGTAGATGGTGGCTTCCAAAAGAAGTGCTTCCACCAGGGCCCACAAATAATCTTAAACCTTCTTCTAAAAGGCAAATGATTAAAATAGGTTAGCTTTCTTTAATGCTGTCCTAGCTAAATCCAAGTAATTTTAAATCTACCCGTTTTGCAGCTGACACTTTCAGATGCAAATACTTAGGTAATGAAGAAGCAACTTCATGGTGTAAGTTGGAGGAAGTACCTTTGTCACAGATTTGCACCTGCTCTTTTAGGCTTAAAGTGGGAAAACTCCCTGAGTCATGTAAGAGTATTTTCAATTTCTGGTAGGTAAGACAGAGTAGAAAATGTAGCACAGTCCTTATGAATACAAACAGGGACTGTGAAGAGAGTGGGTTTTCCTGAGGCCTGTAATGTACATAAATTTTCTGTAAGCTTCCTTATTTATCTCCATACCTTCTGCACTTGAGTCTAAACTGAAGTCTTGACTCTGGAGTATTTTTTCAACTATATCATCAGCATCAACTCTGGTAGCATCAACCCTCTTCAGCTGTGACTCCACAGAGTCTTGCTTTACAGGATGTCTGCAAAAATAAATATATTTAGGCTCTTAGATGTGATAAAGTAATTTACTTGATAAGGCCTTCAGAAACAATGCAGTGTACCTGCATTGTTTTTCTGGTGGTGCATCTTCAGTGGATGTATCATTATCAGCTTCAGCTACTTTTGGCTCAGTCTCTTCACATGGCTCCAGAATACTTCCAGTTCCTGTTGAGGTACTTCCCACTGAGGTGCTCCCCACTGAGGTGTTTCTCCTGTGGCAGAGTTCAGACAGACTGGATGACCTAGAGTGACATGTGCTGTATCCTGTTGGGAAAATGCAGGAGAGATGGGTTAGGTATGTTTTTGACAGGCCAGGTCCATCCTGAAAGCAGAATTTGTGTTTTATCTTTGTATAAAGGGACCTTCAAAAGCCCTATGAATGTATGTGCATACATCAACTAGAAACTGACTTCAGATTTTGTATTTTAGCACCTGCCATTTTCTTTGTGTTCTAAGTAATTCCTGTTTTATATCAGAACAATTAGAATGACAAATATAGTCTCCTTAAGCTTTTAGATCTAAGGCTCCATTTTTTTTTCTCATGGAAGAGGTAAAAATCTCATCCAGATATATTAATTGGAGGGAACAATGGCAAAAAGCTGTCTTGCATCTGAAGAGATAATCCAGTGAATCCAGTAAATTTTAAGAGGGAAAACATGTTATCATTGCCATACCTGAAACTTCTAGAAAAATAATCCCCAACAACTCATAACAAAATTGTGAACAGCTACCTGACAGCTTTGATTGCTGACTTGCATAGCTTGATGTTCTGGAATGTCCACATGCACCAAGTTCATCTGGGACTGAGGCACTCTTGGATGAGACATCTGCAACATGGGCAAGTCACACAGTGTTCCTAAAGCCAACTGTATTGCTACTTTCACAGTAATCTTGATTAGATTCAAAAGTCACATTTCCCAGAGGGGTTAGAGATTTGACACTGATTTTCTACAAACCTTTTGGAGATTCAGGTGCTGCAAAAATGCCATGGATGTTAATGAATATACATTCTTTTAAAAATAAAGATCATAATATGTATCTGAGCAAAACAGAGAGGACTATTGGGTTAGACAGACTTGTGTGAAATGTAGTTGTAGATTTGTCTAGTGTCAATATTAAAGAGATAATCATTCTCTCTCCAGTATGTTGGGCCAGATGTTTTCTGTCTGAAAAGCTAACCTGCTGAAAAACTTCAGCTGTGTTTGAAGCAGAAACTCACAAACCATGTACGAACGTTCCTTTGCAGGCCAACTGTCAGCAACCCTTTCAGATTTGAAGTCTTTTGAGCATCTTGAAACTATGAGACCAGTTATAAAAGCATTGAAAAATTAAGAGCATTATTTTATACCTGCTATACCCAGATGTGCTACTTTTAAGTTTTCTCCACCTTTCCTGTCTTCATGCAAAGACTCTGATTCTCCAGCAATTGCTATAGATGTTGCTGTAGAAGGAGGCCTATAAGAAAAAGGTGGTTAAGATTTGCTGTACTTCTGCTGTAATCCCTCCAAAATAATCAGCACATAGTTTTCCTTTCGAATATGTTGGTATCATTCATACTGTGTATCAGGTTAACAGACCAGTTATTTTCTGGAAACATGGTGCCTAGTCCCCCATTAAGGAAAATGAAAAAAAAAAAGGAAGTTTTTGCTATTGAGCTTAAGGACATTTTACAGAATCAATCTGCTCAGCCCTCAGGCTTCTGGGGATCCTGGGAAAGGCTTTTCCTTTTCTAATGATTGGTGGAGTGATTTGTCTTTAATTTGAAGTTGTTTCTTATTTTTTTAAGTGTATGAATCACAGGACAGTTTACACACTAAGAATATATGTAATTCAGTACTTGAAGGAATACATGAGAAGGTGGTAAGTTTTAAAAATACACAATGTGCACAACAGTTGGCCTAGTTGGCTTCTGTGCTGTGACACAATCCTGGCATTGTCTCATCCCTGTCATAGAGCAGGAAATTATTCTGGGCTGATAACCCTCCCAACTCCTAATAAAAGGGCCTATGGCACCATCTCCATATATTGCAGTCTAAATTTTACCTTCTGCAAATTCAAAAAGCATCATGTATGATGTAGTTTAAATTTTACTTCAATATTAAAAGCTTATAATAAAGCTCAAGTTTTTGTTTGAGTTAATACCAAGACCCAAAGAGAGATCTTATTTAAATTAATAAACCTCTTAGTTTGTGTTTTGCTAGTGCAGAAGAAACTAATTAGAAAATTACAAAGTACAAGCAATCTCTTGCAAGCAAATACAACCAAAATACATTTCAAGGTGTTCCCTACAGGATTTTTTAATGCTTTGTTATTTTTACATTGGGAACAGACTGTTGGTCTGCATACAAATGGGTATTTGTTGACATTTTTAGATTTGATACAGTCAATAAATTAGTCACTGTCTTCATGTAGAGTATCATAGTCCCTCTTAGGTTATGTTTGAAAGTAAAGAGAGAAAGGAAAAAGCACTTCCAGAAATACAGTGCCTGTGTGACTTAACTGCATAACATACATTTGAAAGCAAGAACTGAATGGTTTCAGGGATGCCATCCCAGATCAAACACCAAGCCTTCTAGGCTTCTTCATAAAATATGTAGTTTGATGCCAGATTATGAAACTGTTTTAAGGTTTATTTTTCCTTCTACAAAGGACATCTGGATTAGATAAGTTGTTTGTTCTGTTTGTGTTGAAAGTTTATGTTCCAGGAAATGGTTATATCACCAGTTTGGAAGAAAATGCCAAGTCTGAATAATTTGAGTAAGAGATTTTTTTCCCAGGAACCCAGAAAGCTATTTAGGTATTAATTTCAACTCCTTCAGTACTAGGCAGTAAAAAACAAATACACTGCTTTGTTAGTATTCAAGACTAATGATTAGTTGCCTTTGAGGAATTGTTTATCAGTGATGTATTTGTTAGTAGGGCTGACTCTAAAGTAAATCTGCTAAAGTTGTTCTGAAGTAAAGGGGTGCTCAGTAACTTGGGGTACAGAAAAGTTTTGCCAATCAGACAAATTCAGATAATACCCTCTTGCTATTTATTCAGTAAGCACAAGATGGGATTCTACAGTTGGTTCAGTGTTCTATTCTTCTCATTAAAGGTTAGTAGAAGAGAAGAGAAAGGACATTTAGTGGTGTAAGGGGACATTGAAGAGTGCTGTGGAAAATCACCTAAGCCAGACTGGTACAAAACCACAGCACAGCTATTACACTTCCTTAACTCCAGAGTAAGGACAATGAGGCCAAAAGATCCTCAGTGTATAGCAGTGAATTCTCCTGGCTACCTGCCCCTCAGAAGTTACCTATTGCATCTTTTACCAAGCTGCAGAATGTCTTTGCTAAGTAAATATCTCTAAGTGCTTTCTCTTGTACTGAGTCACATCACGTTTCCGTTGTTTGTTGGGGGTTTTTCTGCAAATGAATATTTCAAAGTCATCTGAGACTTTTGAATAAAACGTATAGCAGCACATTTTCCAGACACAAGTATTAGTCAGATCACCCCATACCAAGTATATTTATATAAGGTTGCTGCAGGAACAGTTTCCCTGAAGTGGGTTTTTTTTACATTACAGATGTACAGGTGAGTATTCTGTGTTTGATACCAAGTTCCTAACAGCAAGAACTATGACACTTCTACTAGCAATTTTACTGTTAGTCAATATTCAGCTACCATACAATATTTTTGTGGATTATTAAAAAAATACTGTTGCCAGATTGGAGAAATATAAAAACACAAATTAGAAATGTAATTCTCAACATGGAATGCATGATTAAAACATCCCACAGGGATTTTTTGCAAACTTACGTTTTAAAGCATGGGTCTCCAGACATCAGCTGCATGTTGATCAAAACCTACATATTAAGAAAACAAAATCCATCATAAGAAAAAAATTGTTTGTGACACATATGTGGTCATGTAAATAAGTTATATTTGCCACAAATGTTATATTTAATGAAAATAAAATGCCATAATCACACATGCATAAAACAACATCATTTTCCTTAGGCATACAAACAACACAAAATACCATTTAAAGTAACATAGTTACACATACAAGATTCTGAAAAAGAAACATATATCAAGGAGAATCTCAGAATGATTAATAATTAAGATGGCTTCAAGGGAAAAACAAAGCCAAGAAACCTAAAACCTGAATGATCAAACAGAACATTGTTCAGAGCAGTGGGTGCTGAAGTTTGTTCTTTGCTGAGGGTGTTCAGCAAACTGCTGGCTCTCAGTACGGGTTGTGCTAACATCAGAGACAGCAGAAGCACACAGGGTAAATAAGCCATAGGACACAGTGCATTGAAGGCTTGTTAGGCAGGCCAAAGCCATCTATTACAAGTGTTCTGGACAGTCTGAGACTGTCAGATCAGAAAATCCATGCACAGACCATATACTGAATAATGTGGAAAATTTATCCCGGTGTCCCAGTAGGAAAAAGAAAATTAAAATTACTTGAAACAATCAAGTAATTTTAATATGTAATTATTTTTAGGTTTATGGAGCTTATTCAGTTTTTTTAACTCCCTGGACTAAGGGAAGAGGATATCAGAGTGGGTGTCTTGCAAGAATTCTCCCCAACTGTTAGCATGATTACTATCAAATAGAAAACAGGAAAATCCCAGGACTCATCCCAGGTATTGGAGGTGGCTTGTACATATATAAGCCAATTAATAGATTCACTCTCAGAAAGATGCACAGAGGGTTGCCCAGTCTTGAGGATACCATACATTAACTTGTTCATTTTTCAGCTCCCCTTAGACTAGGAAAACCTTTTAAAAGCTTTTCTTTTACAGCTATCCAGCTCCATTTCAAGATAGGGCAAATTATATTTTTGATTGCGTGGATTTTAATGATTGTCTCTAAACAACACTTTCAGTTTTACTTCAAATAGCTTTCCTTCCAGAAAGAGGTTCCGGAAATAAGTTTTAAATTTCATTAAGTGCTTAATAATAGCACTTGTTCTCTGCTTTATTACTTTAAGTATGATAAAGGAAAGAAATTACTTTGAGAATGGAGTTGTCTTGTCTTGTATTTTTGGTATCATAACCTTCCAGTAAACAGCGACGAGTGGTATTTCCCGATCCAGCAAATTCTGCTAGATTTAGATCTGCAAATCCGAGCTGTTAAGAGAAAATGATAATTAGTAGTATGCATTTGGCTAAATGAAGGTACTTGCTAATTACACATTAAGTACCACTCAATAGCAGTTTCATTCAAATATTAGAATGCCCATTTAAGGGAATGGACTGAGGCAAAAAGCAGAAAACAAACCCAGAAAAAATTCAGCATAGTTATATTTTCAGTTAAAAATTTTAGAGTGCCAAGAGAGAATAAGAATAAGGAGAGTTTTCTTTATCATTTAATGTAAATGTTTACTTTTACTAACCCTTTCTGCATACCAGCCTGAAAGAAAAAAAAGTTTTGGTGGTATAACATTGTTACAGACTTATTAAACACACTGATTGGAAGTTCCAACAGCACTGTGTCACTATAATGTACATTATGAAGTCATGGGTATTAAGTCCTATTCTGGAATTACTGTAAAAGGGCATAAAATGGCAAGAAAGAAAAGCTTATCTGTAGGCAAAATTAGCTACATCTCAATTTACCTTTGCATATGCCTTTCCTCCTTTTAATTCCTAGAAGAAAAAAAAAAAGAAAAAAGATATACCATTAAGCCATTAAATATACTGACTCAGGATTTTTCTTCGTTTTTTTTTTTAGAAACGCAGGTGTTAATTTTGAAGTATCTCCTCACACATTTGCTAGACTATGCTGTTGTCATTTAGACCTTAATATTCATAATGCCTTTGGAGCAGGCCAGCAAGACACTGTTGTCTTGGAGAGAGGAATAGCAAATGCCTGATGCCAGCTGGCATTGGGCTCTTACAAGGTCTGGCACCAAAGGTAGGACATACTGCATGCAAAATTCTGGTACTTAGCACAGTTCAGTTCTTCTAAGCTTACTGCTGCTAGCTGGAAATATCAATCAAGAGTTAACTTTATAAACACTGAAGGGAAATTCCTTTGCTGCCCTGCTGGAAAAAGGGTTTTCTTCATATAAACATAAACCCCCCATAAATTAGCCAAAGTAAAGGAAGTAATAAGATTGCTACAAAATTTTGACTAAAGGCATACCTGGTGTGATTGCAGCTAAAATTTGCTTTATGAAGTTTATCAGACATTCAAAAATGAAAACAAAACCAAGGAAGAACGAGCAAGGAAAGAGGAGAGGAGGGGGAAGAGAGCTGCTTACCTTCCGCACAGACACCCTGCAAGTGCAGGTATCCAGGATCCCTGTTGCGGCACTGGCACTGATCTTACACATGAAGAAGAACTTTTTCTTCCAGCGGACACAGTTTGCCTGCACGACCTCCCTGCAAGCAGAGAGCATATGCTCACTGTTAGCTGCACATGCACTCAGAACCACACACTGCAATAGCACAGCTCAAGAACAAACACTGGTTCCACTCCTTGCAGAGTGGCCACTTCATGCAAATTCTGGTCCAAGATGCGAATAATAACAATAATCCCCCATTCTGCACTTAACAGTTGCATGACTAAGAACTGTTTCAGGCCTTGAACACAGTATTAGACCTCCAGAAGAGTTCAACAGCAATGTGTTTTTTCAAATGAATGAGAGTGTAATTTCTGCAGTTTGCCTCAGGAGTGTGAAGTCTTCCTGAACATCAGCTCCCAGACACTGTCTCCCAAGCTGCTGAGCTTTGCAATGTGCTGAAGACAGCATCTTTGACAAGTAGTTTTTCAGTTCAGAGAAAAGGAGCGTCATACAAGCAAAACTACATAAATTTGAGGCCTGGAAGAGTAGAAAGGAGATTATGTGCAATAACCAGAGAAAAAGAAATGCACTTGGGGCAAATGAGAATTGCAGTTACATAATGTGAGCTTGCCATTTGAGAGCAAAATAAGCTGACACATCTGAAGGGATCTGTTTCTCACAGGAGGATAACAATCTGACAGTATTGGCAGGATGAAGGATGCTTTCAGTTATGAATGTCATTTTATAAAGCTCAGACAGAACACATTCTGTTTGGGTAATTCTGACCAAGAACAGACTCCAAAATGAAAAGGCACAGGGAGGACAACTAGAAAACCCCTGTATCTTAAAAGAAAAAAAAACCCCTGATAATTTCTTCTATCAGTCTAACCACTGAAGTACCATCCTCACATATAAATATATGTCTCCTTTTTCCTCTTCCATTTTCCTAATACATAAATTCCTGTTTTACACTAACTTCTGCCAGCAGCTTATTATTGAAGAATCAGTTTGATGTCTTTAGCAGATAGAATCCTATGGTTCTGCAGAAGCTGGAGCCAGAGTTCATCACGTGTATAGAAAAATGAAGAACGGCAGGGTGCTCAAAAAAGCTCTCTTTGCTGTGCTGGTGAGACTGCCAGCTCCAGGGCTCACAGGCACTGTGACTTCCTAAGGTGGGAATAAATCAGCCAGCCTAAAATGAGTCAGTGTAATGACCACAACAGACTAACAGATTCTGATGATACAACACTGAGTCACATTCAAGCATGTGACCTGGAAGGAACATGCTCTGTAAACACCATGATCTACTCTTTATCTGGGATGTTTTACATTGCAAGCTTTCCTGCATTGTGGGAAAAAATGAATCCCATCCTGCTGTCATGTGAGTTATTTAAATATACAAAAGAACCAGAATTCAAAAAAGGCAAATTCCAAATAGTCACATCTCTATTGAAACAGGCTCAGACAAGAAGACATCATGTAAAATTCACCCTTAAAAGGGATAACAACTGCTACCATTTGTGACACATATGAAACACTGCCACTAAATTGAAAGAGTTCACTTGTCATCCATAAAGGTCAGAAAATCCTCTCTCATTACATCTGTTTGTTGCAGAAGTAGGACAGCAGTCATCATCATCCTTCCCACCCTTTCCTTGTCACCCAGGACACCACTGGCTCTACCAATAACAGCATCACTTTTGCTGCTACTCATCATTTCACTAAGTTCTTGGAGTGTTTTTGCTTCTGTAACATTTCCAATTAGTAATAATGATACTTTTTTTCCACTGAAAAAGTGTTTTTGTAAACACAAAGTTGAAGCAATGTTCCAAAATCTTTGTACTACTCAGTACAATGGTTCAAGTTGTTTCTGCTTCTCAGAACAGCCTCCTGTCTCTGCAGCAAAGTCAAAGCAGCTGCACATTCCTGGTGTTCTGGACATCACTCACATTGTAGCAAAAGATAATGCAGTGAACATTGAACACATTTTTGCTTGTAAATGCAAGAGAAATATAAGTAACATCTGCTTGAGAAATGTAAGTATCCTTAAAACCTTTAAGGATTTTGAATTTATTTCAACATATCAATACTACTATATGGGTATAATGGTTCAAGTAAGGAATATAGCACAAAACCACTCTGCCTTTGATAGACTCAGTCCACTCATATCACAGGTCAGGATTTGCAAAGAAGCAGCAGAAGTGGCAGTAAAAAGGATTCAGTTATGGATACTGATGGTCTAATTTTTCTAAAAATAAAATCAAAACCAGTAATCCTGCTTCCTTCTTATAAGGATGTCAGAAAAAAAGTATAATTAGATTCTTTCACTGGCATATAAATCAAAAGATATTTGAAAAATTTGTACACAATTAAAAAAAAAAAAAAACAAAACAAACAAAAAACTAAACAAATAAACCCCCACTAAAACCCAGCCTACTGCCCCTATTCCCACAAAACAGTTCTTCTAATTCCACTATATAAAAGAAAAAATTGATGTATTTTAATTCAGGAAATTTTTTTGTAAAGAGGAGTACCATCTAGCTATTCCCATTGTGCTGAAAAAAGGTCAAATAATCAGAACATTTAACTTCAACAGTAACATCTAAGTTTATAAGATTCTTAGTTAAGTGCCAGGCCTTTAGAAAATAAACAGCTGTATTGATGGGCTGCTATGGAAATGAACCCAGATAACTTCTGGCAGCTCTTGCTGTGCTGCAGCACGCTGGCTGGGGAGAGCTTTCCGTTCTGAGTCAGTTTCCTACAAACCTCCCCGTCACTTCACCACATGAAAAGCAAAACCAGTTGTTTTTTTAATCAAAACGTATCTTAGTTACCAAGATGCACTGGAATACATACTAGGCTGTAGTGCTTTGAATAACTGAATAAATGCTGTTAGTAGTACGTAACCAAGAATAAGTTCAATAAACAGATACTGTAGGATAAAATGACTCCAAACTAGTATGTATGGAATACATACTAGGCTGTAGTGCTTTGAATAACTGAATAAATGCTGTTAGTAGTACATAACCAAGAATAAGTTCAATAAACAGATACTGTAGGATAAAATGACTCCAAACTATAGTGTGTTACCATCACTGTTTTTTCTTTAGAGGAACAATTTCACATTGACTCAATTTCAAATGCAAGATTTAAGCTGTAGTCAGGTCCTTATTTGTAGATGTTTTGTATACTGAACACAATTGCCTTTTAAAATGTTGAATAAAAGTATTGAATTTTTCTTCTGATACATAATAAAGAAAAAAAGTAAACTCAAATAATAGACAACAAATCCTACTCTAGTCACCTCCTCATCCTAAAGTGCTACAAGTGATGGACTACTTTTCAACGTGTTTATGTTTATCAGATTGTTTGTTCATTTCCACATGGATAAAATCTATGAGTAATGGCTGATTCCAGCAAATAGCTACAAATACAAAAATAAGTCACTTTTAGGGATCTTCAGTGTCCTGGGGAAAATCCCTTCTTGGTAAATGGAAAAGCTTTAGCATGAGAGGCTCTGAAATAAAGAAGCCAAAACTCCTTGTGGACATTTACCAAAAGACTGTGTTCCATTAATCAGAAAATTTGATTTATTTAACAGCCTATTAGGATCTTTAGCCATATGGGGATGATTATGTTAAACTGCTTGTGTTTGTAGTGCAATTATTTTAGATTTATTGGTCACCAAAGAAACAATAAATTGGGATCATTGTTTTAAGATGCCATTCAGTCTGTTCGCATGAAAATACTTCCAGAACTACTTTTGGATTCAGCTGGGTCAGTACACTTATTTATGTCAAAGAAAGTGGTGTTTGCTAATGCATCTTACAGCATGTGAACAGAACATGAGTTATCTACTTGCTGTAAATACTGTGAAAAACCAGCTTTTTCGCTACATGAGGTAAATGACAATATTATTACTATCTTTTAAAGCCTGTAATTTGATGAGAGAATCACCTAAATTTTGCTTGTTAATTTTAGAAGAAAATCTCTCCTACTGATAGGATGGCCTGAGGGAAATGAGGCTGAGGAGGTGTTCCCGGGAAGCGCCGCTGCCAGCACGCACAGCCGGCCCGGGGGCACGCACAGCCGGCCTGCTCTGGCACCGCTAGGGCTGAGCAGCACAGAGCTGTGCTAGACACATCCATAGACAGAGACCTGTGCATGGCTCCCAGGCTATCCCACAGTCCAACTCCAGCCCACAGAGCCTCTGCTCCAGGTGCAGGCACAGGGATCTCTGATGGCTGCTGTGACCCATCTGGGCTCTCCAGGTGCTGGCACCCCAAGTGCTCTGGCCACACTCCCTGGGTAGCTGCTGGCACAATGGACACACAGGGCCCGTGAGCCACAGTCCCACTCCCATGGCATGAGCGTGCTCACTGTGGCCTCTCCTGCTGCTGGCAGCCCTGTGACACTCTTGACTCCAGTTGCTGGCACTGAGACGTTCCTTGCCCCACAGTGCACATCGAACAGAGAGCCCTTCCCCAGGAAAGGGTCACAATGTTCTTCATCAGAAAGATACAGCAGACATTACTAATTAGAAACAGATTAGACAAACATACCAACCAGCAAACTACATCCAACTGGCCCTTTATCCCCTTAACTCCCTATTTCTCCCCACACTTGTTCCTCCTCAAACTCATCCCTTCCTCCACCTTTAGTTCCTCCCCAAATTGTCCCACGATAAGCCTCTTCCCTTGCATCCCATGATGTGTCTCATAGAGAGCAACCCCCTCAGTCCAAAACATGCTTTAGTTTTAGTTCAACATGATGGGTTTCCTGCCTGGACAATGGGGCTAAGGGTCTCCTGGGACAGCACTGGGAGGGGCCCAGAGAGGGTGTCCCCTTGTGCAAGCCCATAATTTCAGTTCCCTACCTGCCTGTGTGTCCCTGGGCTTGTGCAGATGGGCGTTGATGGGCTGATGGTTCCTGTGACAGGACTGGGAATAGCTGGAGCTCAGTATTATTTTAGGCTCTCCACTCTCCCCTGCCTTTGCTGACTGCATTCATTTGTGGCTGTGCAAATGGACTTCTGTCACCTAAAGCTTCCTTTGATCGATCCCTCTCTGATTAAACTTAATACAGGTAGCTCTGTCCTTCTGATAAAAATACAGTTTTTAACAGCCTGG